AACATGTTTTTCTGTCCCTTTTGTCTGTCAATTGTTGCTTTACTTCCTTTGTAAAATGAGGTTAAATTGAGTATCACTGAATATTGTATGCTTTTTTTTCAGGATCAGCTGAGATGTTATTTCACTGGATTATTTAATGGATAGACTTATTGGGCATATATTTGGATATCTCTGGTAAGTTTGTCTTTGTTTTGTTTACATTTTCCTATGAAGGTCATCTGTGCATTTAACCATGATTATATGGTTTAATTTAATTACTGTGTAATTCTTATGTGATCTCATATCTCTAACATTCATATAAGCACAGTCTTATTTTGTCTAAAATATACTAAGGAAACTTCATAATGTTCATAAGTCCTTTTGCATAAATGATGATATAATTCCATTAAATGCATTATGTCTGTTACCCATGGAATTCAGACTTACTAAATTGTGATCTATAAGGAATGTAATAAAAGAAAAAGTAAGAATCTACAAAAGGTTTATCCTTGTTTTGATTCTAAATATGTGCTATATATGGCATACACATATTTTCATTTTCACTTTTGTTTCTTGGTAATGAGCTTTTCAAAAAATGTAGGACTACATGTTGTATATGCTAATATCTTTTTGTATGCTGTACTGACAGGTATTAAACCAAAATTGAATCTGTTGTTAATAAAAAAAGTCTGTTAGTGTCTAAAAATTACACTGATAATCATTTTGTATTTGTGATATTAATACAATAACTGTGCTTCTTTTGTTATCTAAAGATAACATGATGAACTATTTTCATGAACTTTTTTGGCACTGTATTTAAACATGTAATGTTTCATGCAGTTCCTTGTCATATTAACAAAATGGTTTTATTTTCTATACAGTCCTCAACCTGGAAGATATGTATTGTTCCTAACCAATCCATTCTCTATGAAGTTCAGCCTGTCTGCCCAAATTCCTTTGGAAATACATAGTTAGTCAACCAACATAGAAACAATCAAACTTGAAGGTAAAGTTTCAATGAGATATCCAGTCCTAATTTTTATATATATATTTTTTTTATATATGCTTGATTATATTTTCAAATTAATTGAATTGATAAGTAGATGATATGATCTTTTTTTGAAATTATGAGGGCTTGGTGGTCATGGTCATTTTTAGACTATATTGATCTCCTATAGAAGAAGAAGAAGAGCTCCATATATTTACAAAAATGATCAAATTGTGAAACTAAAATGTGTGAATTTTTTCTTTGCCAAATGATAGTTAACAGCTGAAGATATCTTAACAGATATCTAAGAAATAAGTTATATCAGATGTTTAATTTATTAACCCTCAGCTTCCTTAAAAGCATAGTTGGTAAAGATTTCAAGTTTTCTATCCAAGTGCTTATGAATTCTGAATTTTTTATTTAATATTGACATTATATTTACAGGGGAAAGAAAACTACTTAAGTGTTTCTACTGACCCCCTCCAGAGATCTGCTTATGAGTGCATGGGGAATGCGGTGGACCTTCTCTCCTGTTTAAATATACTTTGGAGGCTGGCGCATGAATCTTCATTCACAAAAGGTACTTTCAATATCAATAATGCCACCCATGTATTTTAAAAAAGATGTCTTTTACATAGGTGTATAGAGAAACCAAAGTGTCAGAACACAAACAGGTCAGGACAATCACTTATGCAGTGTACTTCCATAGGAAGGTTACACACTCATATCTTTGGAGGAATGCTATACCAAAAGACAGTTAAGATAATAGGGTAGTTATATTTCTCTAAAATTTTAGGTATCAACAGTATGACTGTGGAAGTTCCATTATTCTTGGGAGTTATGTCCAGCAACACAAACCAATCATATCCAGTATGTACATTGGATCTGCTAACTTTACTTTAGGATACCTAGGATTTTGAAAGTTCACCATGTTCAGGTTTTTTTTTTTTTTTTTTTGGTTTCGATATTGTATGTGTGAAGAGAATGTAGACTTTGATTTGGTGTCAATAACAGTCTTTAAAAGATAAAAATGTTAAATTAGAATACAGCAAAATAAATAACCATTGGTAATTACTTAAATACTGATACAGATTTGAACATTGACAAAAATATTATTTAGTAAAAAATTAAGACAATAAGAGAAGACAAAAGTTAACTTGATGACTTTTTGTCAATAAAATATTTTCAAGTCATTTCTTGTACTTTATTATCATATCAGGAAAGAAGACATTTTACTTGGTAAATGAAGGAGAGAAAAATTGCAAGGGAGGAGGTGTATAGTTTACATGGTGCATTTTTTAAGTACTATGACTAGGGTGAAGATGGGGATTTCACTTGGATAACTGAGGCTTGGTTAACTGAGGAACAGAAACAACACATCTCTGTGGTATGGATTATTTATGAAGAGTTATCACAGGTAGCATTTAATTTTTTGGAGAGAGAAAAAACTGATTCTAGATGTACTGAGATATCCAGGACTTTGAGATTAATGTTCAAGATAGCAAAGTAAAATGAACATGTATTAACTTGTTTTGCAAAAAATCTGTTTTTAGTAGAATTTGCTAGGGCTGTATCAATATATCGATATATCGATACGTATCGATATTCAAAAAAAAAAAAAAATATCGTATCGAAAAATAACTTCCAATACCTATCGGAGAGACAGTTTTCTTCTAATTTTGTTAAAAAGATAGGAATTTCAATCACCAAAGATTATATTTTACTTTTTTGAATTAAAACTGTTCAATAATTAAATGATTTGTAAGGAAATAACACAGTTTTTATAATTATTACAAAATACACAGAGAAATTTATTTGAAAATGTTGATTTTACTGTCATCAAAAAGTTTTAGTTTGAAGTGTTATTTGTAAAGACAATGAGACAAGAACTTTAGAATGAGTAATAAAACACTTAATTATTATAAAATTTATGCATTAAAATGATTTAGAAGCCACTTCTGATAGACTTTTTTAGAATTCAATATATCGCATATCACTTTAAAAAATATTGTATCGTATCCTATCGAAAACTTTGGCTCAATACACAGCCCTAGAATTTGCTTTCTTTAATACATAGATTTTTCCAATTCTATTCACTTATGTATAAAAAAAAATTTGTATAAATTAATTATGCTCAATTAACTTATATTCCATATCAACTGAAATATTCCCAACTTCCAATGCTTCTTATTTGCATTAAAAAAACCTGACTCAGATAAAATTAAATTATTTTCTCATTTATTTTACAAGAAATAACATGCTGACAGTGAATCTAATCATTTTTTAAACTGGTTACAGTAATGTTTCCAATTGTCTTAAAATGCTCAAATGCAAGTTTATTTCATACACAAATACCTTAATTGTATAGACTAAATGTACTTATAGATAAACCCCTTTGTAGTAAAAAACATTTTATTAGGTTTAATTTTCTTGTTTATTCTCTCATATATTTCCTAATTTAAGTATTCTCAAATTATTGATTACATAAGCCAACAAATTTAAGACAAAACCACAATATATGCTGAATACCCTGAAATGAAATGGTTACATATGTAAGATGTGTAACACATCATGTACAACTTTTAAGTCTACAAAATTTTAAGTTAACCCTATTATACAATAAGACTACTTTTTTCAAAGTAATGAAAAATTCTTTGCAAAAATATGTCTTTATAAATGCAAAAGATAAATGTTACAGTTTTTTTTTAAAACATAGATTTTGCTACACTAACAGGGTATTCTGTATGACCAACTTTTCATATCAGTTCTTTACATTATCATATTTTAACAGTGATTATTATTATTTTTCTGCAAGCAATGAAAAAAAAATAATTAACACTACAATCTAAATATATTATTGTTCAATTTTAGGTCTCCATAAACAGATGATTAACAGATTATTAATAGCTGGCCATACCAAGTTTGAACCTGACCACCCCATTTTGGAGTATAGAAGGTAAATTGGAGAAAGTTAAGAAATTTTAGAAGAGGGAAATTTATTTTATCAGAGGTAAATTTATAGATGGGGATAATGAATTTGGTATTTTCATGTTGTGCAGTCATCCTTTCAGCATTGGAAATTTTTATTTAAAAAAAAAATATTGTTTGAAAGAAAACATTTTTCTTTTTTCCAGATAGCACATTCTGTTCATCAGTCAAGGAAACATATACACAGCCTTCTACATATTGTCCAGGACCAGAAGAAGCCAGTGGTGTTTTATAATTGAAAACCTCAGTGACATCTCTTTCAGAATTTTTTTCTAGACCTTTGAAAATTTTAAACTAAAAAATCATAACATGTATATCACAGAGAGAAGACTATCCGTTTTTTTATTTATTTTTTTTTAATTTTTATTTTTATTTTTATTTTTTTTTTTTAAAAACATCACTTTAAAGTATGTGAGTGTCCATATTATTTGTATTCTAATAAATTTAAAGTTCTGAAAAAATAAAAAGACATACCAGAAATATTCATGTATATTACCATTGAATAGATGAAAAAAAAAAAAAAAAAAAAAACCTGATCTTTTAAATTTTTAAGCTGTACAAAAGTTATCATTCCAGGAAATTTGAATCTATACTCACATTAAAAACATTTTAATTTTTTGATATTGTTTTTGCTTGAGGGATGAGACAGGAAATTATTTATTTTAACTCTACCAAATAATATAAATTTTTTAATGTTGCATATTTTGATTTTCATGTTAAACTTTGTCTTTATGAGAAAAAACAAAAACAACAACAACAACAACAAAACATGAAGTGGAAAAAAAAACCTTCTAGGAAAAACAATGGGATATGATGAGAGTTCATACTCATACAGATTTTATTCTATAGTATTACCAAGAAGTGAGAAAAAAAAGTAAGAAGATAAAATGACATTAAAAAGAAAAAAGCAGAGAAAAAATTCCATGAATTTTTTTTAAAAACCTGAATAAATCCATTTGATTTTTTGTCTGTTAACAAAACAGCCTTTTTGAAAAGTCGATTATCCCCCTTTAACCATAGATTATTTTTCAAAATACAAAACAGGTGTTGGGAATTCAGTATAGAATGGGAGGAAATGTAAATAAATGTAAATGATTTAAATGACATTTTTAAGGTATAGTGATCAATGGTATCCCTCATCTTTCTGTATTGTTAAAAATGAAAGATGATTTTTAAACTTTTAGACAAATCAAAGTTACATGTTATCTAAAATCACATTTAAACTTTGCCAGAAAAAAGGAAAACTACCAGGGATTTTAAAAAAATGAAAGGTGTTTGTACTTACAAGTAATAGTCATATACCTCATTGCTTTCAATGAGTTATGGAGTTTGAGAAATATGTTTCTGAAGAAAAAAAATTACTTTGAGAAGTGAAAATTTTTCTTTTACAACAGAAAAAAAAGACATTTAATATCAGAAACTGTGTCATGACCATGTTTTTGGGACTTAAATTAAAATACTTGTATGGGATTTTATGCACAATATACATACATATCACAAATATTTCAAAAATCACTCTTAAATTCCTCTTAATATTTGGGTTGTTTTCCCCATGATAGTTTCACAGAAAAGTATAAATTCAAGGTGTGAAATTAAAAACACTCAGTACTGTTGTTGTCTCAACCATGGGTAACACCTCTAGTAAAGAAAAGAGTAAAGGAATGAGTAAAATTCAGTTTGGAGAGAGAGTTCATTTAGAGAAAGATGTAGACAGAGGTATACCAATTCAATTACATGATGATGGGGCTATTGAGATCATTTCTCAACAAGAATATATCCAATTAAGTCCAGAAAAGAGTGATCCTAATGATGCGAGAGATTACATAGAAAGACCCTTGATTACAGAAGAAGTAAATGAGGAATATAACCCTTTATTACCCATAGAGGGTGAGGGTAACCTGGATTACCCTGTAAGACCCTTGACTAGAAAAGAAGCCAAGCTTATAGATGATAAGAAAAAAAAGATATCAGAAAAAAAGATTGATAAAGACACTGGATTTTAAACCCACAGAGGAGAAGAGTCCACAAATAATGAAAGAAATTCAAACTCAACTCTTGGAAGATATTAAGACTCATTATCAAAACAAACATAAAGAAAATACAGGTAATCTTTTATATTGCTCAGTTAAAAATAGACAGATTTAGAATAGCCAAATATTGGATATTTGATTTAACTGGGTGCAGACAGGAAAGTGTAGATCAAATCATTGGAAGTGATTATCAATACTTGATCTTACAAAAAGAAAGGCATCCAGAAACTGGAAAACTCATCATGTGAGAGGATTCATTCAAATGAAATACAGCTGTCATGAGAGATATATGTACAAAAAGATTCATGGGTTAACTTGTTTTGATATGTCTCAGAGTACCCCAGAATTGGAAAGAACCTTTTATAGATAAGGTGACTATGAAGAATATGGGGTTCTTAAATCTGAAGTGAGAAACAGAGAATTAGTTCCAAGAGATTGTAGATTTACCTGAATATTTAAAAAAAAAAAATAATGAATATACCCCACACTTATGACAAAATAGGTGTACATTCTTTATTCACATTAAGTGTATGTGTATGTATGTGTTATTATTTGATGAAAAAAAAAAAAAATAAAAATGTGTGTTTTAATGTGAATTTATTTAAAAAAGGGTTTATTATTATTATTATTATTAAAAGTTAAAAAATTTAAAAGTTTTAAAAAATTCATAAGTTAAAAAATTTAAAAGTTTTTAAAAAATTTATGAAGTTGTAAAAATTTAAAAAAAAAAGTGACCTGGTGTTATAACTTGAGAGAAACACACACAATGTTTCTTTTCTTTGACTGTATTTTTAAAAAGATGATCTTTTTTTCTAAGATACAATCGTTTCTTTGACTGTATTTTGAAAAAAAAAGATCTTTTTTTTTTTTCTAAGACACATAACGTTTCTTTTATTGACTGTACAGAAGGCATCTTTTCGAAACAATTGGGTAGCCCTTAAAAGGGCTGTTTGTATAAAAAAACTTTTTGGGTTTTTTTTTGGTTTTTAAAATTTTTTTTTTTTGGTTTTTGGGGTTTCTGGTGGACAGTCAGGTGGGTTTTTACTGGCTCAGTAGGTGTTGTACTATGTGCCCCACTCGTACCTCAGACTCCTCATCCGAACTGTCCTGATCCATGGTCCTCTGCCCCCCGAGTTGTATAACTGCGTGTGGATTACGACATAAGGGGCATGGTAGACCCCGCTCAATCAACATGGCAGAACACAAAATACATGCTGGGCGCTGGAGACAGAAACTGCATTGGAAATTGTTGGGCTCTTCGTCCGCTAAACACAACGTGCAGTAAATGTCCAGGGTGGGGGCGGCAACACCCCAGCGGGGAATCTGCCCCTGGTTCCTCGCTTGTCCCTGGGGGGTTGGCGAAGCGGGTCTGGATGGCGGCGAAGCGGGTCTAGCGGGTCTGGATGGCGGCGAAGCGGGTCTAGCGGGTCTGGATGGCGGCGAAGCGGGTCTGGATGGCGGCGGCGGTGGGGGTGAGCGGGGCGGCTCTCTTCTGTAGGGGTGCGGTCTCCTGCCTCTGTTATTATTAATCTGCACTCTGGCCATATTCATCCTCATTATCTCACGCTGGTTGTCCAGGCGCCTGACGATCAACACGGACTCAATAACTATACCCGGTATAAGATATAAATCTTCGTAGTAAAAGTTTCCGCCTGACATTCTGTCTTCTTTTTTCTTCTTGCTTCTTTTTTCTCTGTACTGTTCAATGGAATCAGCCACGAAGGAATGACACTGGGCGCTCGGAGGGACTGTATTTGTAAACAATAGCAGACGATACTGCAATCGCGTGCGAAACATGGAAAAACCAATCATGTGATCAAATGTGATTGGCTAAAAGAAAATCATGCCATTTGGTAAACACGCCCACCACAGTGAGAAAGCAAAATTGAAGGGGGAAAGGCCGAACCCGAGTGTATCTATGACGTCATATAATAACATAACACTAATGTAGTATTTTTTTTTTTTTAATTTTATTTCTTAAAAACTAACAATGCTTCTAACTGTCGAATTCTCCTCCGAAATCGTATTCGATCCGCTACTAATTGCGTCCAGGGACTTCTCCGGTCTTCGGGGGGTAATTCGTAGATTTGATTGAGGCTGGTATTAAAAGTCACGGATTTCCTAGCCTGTATGAAATTTCCAGGTATTTCATTCCGTATTGAATTCATACTTTCTCCATTGCATCTATGTCCTGCCACAATAAAATCACTTTGTCCGCTTGGGGATGGGTCAGGAAACTGTAAGGCTTTCCGAAATAACGGGTCAGGTTCAATCCGTACCATTTCTGGGGCAGAATTGTTTTCATATGTCGACATAGAAAATGTATGGTAGCTAGTCTCCCCATGGTCGTCGCATGATGTGATAAGGCTAGGCATTGTAACCATAAATCTTGAAGGGTTTCCATGATAGTGCTCGCTTCCCGAAATCCTTGTTCTGCCTCCGGGGGTAGAGATTCTTGGTGATTTTGTGCCCATCGTACTAAACAATCATACCCATCTAAAATCAGAGAGTGAGTGTGTATCAGGGTTGACATGATAGTCGATTGTGAAGAAAGGATTAGACATTTCTTCTCATTTATACCCCCAGTAGAAAACGTAGGTAAATTGTATATTTTTGGCACACGGTCCCCCCTTACAGGTGATGCAACAGGTATCAAAAAAGATGATGCAATATATATCAAAAAGATGATGCAATAGATCTAAAAGATGATGCAATAGATATATAAAGATGATGCAATTTAGATATATAAAGATGATGCAATAGATATCAAAAAGATGATGCAACAGGTATAAAAGCCAAGGTATTTTTTGCACACGGCCCACAGCAGGTATATAAAGCGGAGCTGGGATTTGAGGATCAGTCTTGCTTGACATTTCGAACTTGACAGACGTGAAAATATTATGGCAGAAGCAATGATGAATACTACAGACAACCCCAACTATGTGACACCTGAAGGTTATGTAGGGGCCCCCATGCCAGAGTCACAGGATGCAGTGGGATTAGATTTGGGCATGTATAATCTTCCAGAATATGCGAATAAAGAAGATATGGGCCTATTAAATACAACTCTGGATGGGATTGTTAACATGCTGTCCGCTCTTGACAACAAGATGAATGATATGAACAACAAGGTGAGTGATCTTAACAACAAACTGAATTATATTGGTGAGAAAGTGCGACATCATGACAACACGCTGAAATATATTGCTGAGAAGGTGGGTCATCATGAAAACAAGCTGACTGATCTTAAAACTTACAACGCCAGTGAATTTTGTTTGATTCGTGCCAAATTATCCAAATTAGAAGTGAAAGTTACTAACATGCAAGATAAAATGAGAGGAGGAGGAAGCACTTACC